TGAGCTTGCTTATTCTAAGCCTGCAGTGTAAATTGCGCAATGTTTTGAACTCCAAATAAACACTCAAACACAGTTCACAGAAATATTCTCAAGACAAAATAAAGAAACAAAAAATGTTATTACTTTAAAATATATTTCCTTAATCAAACTTCATACATTCTGTAAGGCACAAACGTGCATAACAATTAAATAGCTCCCCAATGAACTGATGAGTGACACCTCAGCTGAATTTATGCACCTTAGTTCCTAATTTAGTACTAATGAACTTAAGAATGAATCACAAACTTTAGTAATTTCTAAACAAATTTACAAGTTATTTTCAATAACTCCATGGGTCTTTAGATTTCATGTTGACCTCTAGTTTCAAATACAAGTTGTTGCTGGCCCACGCTACCTGTTGCAAACTAAGAAATTGTTAGTAAAAGTCACACAAAATGACAGGCTAAAAGTCTAAACATTTTGTGCGACCTCAAAACTTAATTAGCCTAGAAAGGATAGACTTGTGTATCAACGACAAACTCACCTGCAACTTGAGGATGTCCTTCCGGACCATCGTGAATACTCTTATATTGCAGTTTCCAATTGTATGAGGGGCTTTAGATCTGGTATATAAGAGCAATCAAATCAGGGAGAGAAGCAAGAATAGGAAATCTGCACCAGCATTTACACTTTCAATTCTAGTTAAGTTGGTAACACAAGTATCTTTTACTGAATGATCAAATGACAATTGTAAACATTCAGGAAGGAAAGAATCCAGAGAACATTTCAGTAGAAAGAGCGACGATCGGAAGAGGTTGCCTACCTCATTGAGAACATTCAGCAGCATTGTATAGTGTTCGACAAAGACCATGACGGGTAGAGAAGCTTTGGTTTTAGTCTTAAGTTTTTTTTCTTTTTTCCGGTACTCTGCTGGCCGTGGTTCTGATCCTGCTGCTGCATCATAGCGAGCTGATGGTGCCCATCCATCATGTTGTGCTAAGCAACTAAGAAGAAATGCACATAAAAAGACCAAGTTGCTCCTCAATCTTCATACCACGTGTGTCACGCAGCAAGTTCTCGGCCCTGAGAAAGTTTGCTATAGTTCTAAATATTTCAGCCTCCATCCTAAATTCTTTCTTGCACCAATTCTCGTGTCCTTCGAGGATCTCTTTAACCTTTTTAGCATCAGGAAGAGAAGAGGTATGCTCAGGTGTTTTCTCTTCATCGAGAAAGGGCATTACAGCAGGAAGAAGAACAAAGAATAACTCCTCATCTTCTTCTTCCTCTTTCAATAAAAAATTCCTAGCAAGCTCTTCCCAAGAAGCCATCTAGTTACATATATGAAATTATATTATTACATATATATAAAAAACTACCAAGTACCACAAATTCACAACCACAATTGGCCAAACAGAGCACTAGAGAGAGCATGCTCTTAGGAGGAACATGCTAGGAACTTTCTAAAAGTGAAGGGCTGACTTTCAGAAAATTCATAGCACGCTCTTCCCAAGAACAAAGAATAGCTCCTCATCTTCTTCTTCCTCTTCCAACAAAAAATTCCATCGACAGAAGCAAAGCATACAACAATTAAAATGTATCTTCCATCGAAATCTAGTGTATCAGTAAGAATCTCACCAATTCAAATCAACTAGAGAAAAGGAGAGCACTCAAAGTAGAGAAAACAAGTATTAGAAGGGCAGATTCAAAGTATTAAAAGTCTAAAAAAGTTGAGAAAACAAGTATTAAAAGTAGAGAAAACAAGTATTAAAAGTATAAAAAAGTCAGAAGTACCTAATCATTTTCTATAACATTCTATAGCAGCACCTAATCATATTTATAGCACTCTACAGCAGCACCTAATCATCCAGGCAGCACTTACATCAGCACCTACTCATCCAGGCATGTATGCATTCATTTTTTTAGAACAGGACTGACAACAAAAACAACAACCAAATTATCTATTTTAAAGCCAAAGGAATATGACCCACTATGCTTAACAAGGCCAGACGACCCAACTCAACTGCACTTGCATGCTGTCAATTTTCATTTAGACAGCGTAGTACTGCATACACAAATTTAGACATAGTTTTGTATCTATATATGTGCCTGCCACACAAATCAATTTGATTCTAGAGTATTGGTCATCCACTGAACTCAAACAACCACCCCTTTTCATAATTGTCCCTACACAAGTGTCACCCCGTCCCAAGACGATTTAGCAAAAAACAACAGTGGGGGGAACTAACCTAACACCAGTGTCACCCCGTCCCAAGACGCAGCAGAAAATCACTCCTGCAAAAGCATCATGCCCTTATCATCATCACATCCAGAACTGCAATAGACACTACAATTTATACTTGATCAAAGTTGCCATTTTGAAGCTTTGTATTCTCTCCACGGATCACTTGTACTGAAAAGCTTAGTCAGCTATGACCTTATTAGTCAGAGAGATTTAGCAAGCACTTGTCTGAACTTGTGCTAGATGATGTGTGAGACATATATTCAGTGCATCTCGATATACAAGATTTTATACTATGTTCAAACGTTCAGACTACACACAATGATCAGACTACACACACCAAACATGTAGATGCATATATGCCATAATTTGGCCAAGCTACATGTACCTGTGTGCTTGCTAGTGTTTAGGAGGAAACTAGGACAAGTAGACAACACTAGTTCTGAACAGTGCTGGATGCACATTGTAATGGGGACAACACTAGTTCAAGAAACCAGAAATCTATGGCTCCCTAGGAGCTGGACCTACAGGAACATGATTCAAATTTTTGAGCGAGAGAATTGGTAATCTTGGCACAGAGTTGATCCCAGGACTGCAGGAAAGCAATAATCACATTTGGCAGTTCTTGAAAAAAAGCGATGCAAACAAAGAGACATTGGCTTTAATTTTCAGAAACTCTAATAAGCAGCATCTTGTGTATTAGACCTTGCGATTGTGAGGCACACTGTGAAAATATTGAGCTAACTGACCGACTCAAACATGTGACCATCAGAGTTGAGAGCAGCTGAACTAACTTGGAACAAGCAGCAAAGTCTATTGAGCTATTTAAAACAGAAGAATTTGCTCTGACACATGCTAAATAAACCTCATGCGTGCACAACATCGCTGACTAAGGCACTGCAGGTTAAATAAATTCAGCATTGCACATCCAAGTCGCAGGCACTGCTGATTAAGGCAGTTCTTTAACCATCAGACAAAACATGATATTCTCAATATACTACTACAAGCACATCCAATGAGTAAAAGTTACACATCCAAGTTGCAGGAGCTCGATCTGGGGAGATCTGGGGAGGACAAGGAGGAGAGAGGAAGGGCTCACTGGTTCTTGGGACGAGGCAAGGCGGCCAAGTGGGGGCAGTCACGGAGCAGGGGTGGAGATCGAGCCGGCGCGGTCACGTCTGCGGGCGGGCGGGCGGCGGCGGCGGTGGCACTGGATCAAGCTCAGGTAGCCGCGCGTCGAGGTGGCGGCGGCAGCCCAGCAACTACGAGAAACAGTCTGAGAAGAAAACCGAAACCCTAGCGGCGACGACGGGATGCCGGGGCGGTAGCGGTAGCGGTGTCCTGGCTCGCGGATCTGCAGCTCCAAGATCCATGAAAAGCAATGGAGGTGTGGGTCAAACCCTAGCGGATCCAGAAACTACTACAACGAAGGAGATGAGGTGCACTGACCTTCGAGACGGATGGCAATGGCGGTGGAGATGGCGACGGCGGACGAGGAGCGAGGCGGCGGCAATGGATGAGCTAGGTGGCGGTGGTGGAGGAGCACCCAAGAGCGACAACGAGGTGGAGGGATGTCGCGGCGGCGGACGGATGCCGGGGCGGGGGCCGCCAGATGCCGTGGTGGCAGCGGCCTCGCGACTGGGCGGCGTCGCGAGCGGAAGAAGACTGGGCGGCCTCACGACTGGGCGGCCGGATGCTGTGGTGGCTCGCAAGTCGCACGGGGAAACCCTCCCGGCCTAACGAGTCGTGGATTTCTTCCGCGCGGAAAACGCAGGGAAGCGGGCTGCGATCCGCGCCTTGGTGGGCTGCCAAAGGGTGCACAAATTTGGCCTGGGGGAGGATGGCACGGGGCAGATTAGCTCAGGGAAAAGGTCGGGATCCCGTCGGGAATCTGGGCTGCCAAAGTAGGCCTTATTATTTATTATTGTGTTCTACCCCCCGCTGACGTGTTTTCCAATTATTTGTTTTCTTTGCTTCTCATGTCCACATGCGTACGTGTTCAGGGGTGAATCCGGGCTCTAGGCGTGGGCCGGCAAGAACCCTCTGTTTTCCTAGCCCAAGAAGGGTCTATTTTTACGGTGGCTTATCCTTGGACTTAAAAAGCTAGGTGTCCAATGAAAGGGAGAGTTCTCTGGACTGGAATGCGTTTTCAGCACAAGATTAAATGTAAAATTGTCTGCAATTGATGGCATGGGAAAAAATTGAAGCACTCGTCCACTCTAGTCTAGAACAATGTTTTAACATGCAAATGAAACAACTGTTGACATAAGGGTGGCATCACCCTATTCGCTTGATCATTTTTTGGCTTATAAGCCGGCTGATGCTGTTTTATTGTGAGAGAAAAATACTATATCATAACTGATAAGCATGGTTGATACGATCAAACGATCAGGATGACATCTCAACGAGTGAAGATGGTCCGTGAGTTCATCCATGGGACGTGGTCGAGTGAGATGCCAGTTTACCTGGTGCAAATGATTTGGTCCCTATCAGTCTATCCAAAAAATTTATTATTGACGTGGCTGATGCTCAACGAGTGAAGATGGTTTGTATCTACGTGTTGAGAGGAAAAATAAAACATCCAATCAAACATATATACACAAGTGAGATTTGGGCATGTTACGTGGTGAGATATTTGTCGCAATCTTGGCCTCGAGCTTCGATTACAGTGAAGGATGAATGCAGCAAAACTGCCAACGTGTGACACTGGTCCATGCCGACGCAGTGCAGCATTTCATCGAACAAGTCGTGGGCACGCGAGGTGTCCTACGCTCCCACGTTGCTAGCACGTTCGCAGCTGCCTCTGCTGCTGAAGAGAGCCCCCTGCCGAGGACGAGTAGAGCTTCGGTGAGGGCGTGGATACTTCCCTCGATGATGCGGCAGCCTGCAGGGGAGAGCCATCGTGCCTCCAGTCTTCCTGAGGTCCCCACACCTCTCGAGACAGCTCGTTGGGCGGAGTGCAGGCGAAGTCGACGTGCGCTGCGGGCCGCTGCTTCTCCTTGCGGGGGTGGAGCCAGTCCTGCTCTTCCTTGCCTTCTGCGACGACGTGTCGCGCGTCATCTACCTGAGCCGTGGTCAGCATTGGCAGGTCTGGTGGGACGACCATGACGCCTGACGCGGATAAGGAGATACTGGTAGCCGTAGGGGAGTGCTTCCAGGATGCCCTTGAAGCTCCAGCTTTGGTAATTGGATCAGCTGAAGGGAACGGGTGCGCTCGCAGCGCGCGAGAAACTGAGAAAGGGTCCGGCCCGGTGGAGAGAGGCGCCGGAGCCGCGGCGGCGGACTGGCGGAGACAGACGCAAACGGCGGGGGAGGCGGTGGTGCGATACGGACGTAGGGGAACGGGAGGAGGAACATCGGCGGGCCTGCTGACTGCTGTAGTGCGGCGTGAGAGATGACGGGAGGGATCTCGAACCGTCTCTAATCTAACGGCTCGTGAAAACCCAGCCAGCTGCTGAAAATTCGGGACGACGTGACTTGACGAGAGGACTGCGACGTGGCAGGATGAGAGGCCGGTGTCCATGGTGCAACTTTCGTCTTGTTAAAGATGGTCTTTTCCTACCCTTTTTCTCCTACGATGAATCGGCTGGTCCGACGCTTGGACTCCAAATGCCGAACGTAGTAGACCAAATTCACGTCGGTGGGGTCGAATTCTGACTGTCGGCACGTCTTCTACGAGATTCTATACGCATTTTGTTCACACACGTATTACGTATACAGCATTGCTTAATGAAAGTCTTGGTTACTTATTTCTTTTTTTTTCGGATAGACTCTTAGATTAGTTCCTTTCAAAGAACCACCTGATTGCCTACCTACCATCCTTCGTTGTTTGGTTGAAAGACATAGATCTTCCTATACTTACTTACCGTATCGCCTTCAGTCTGAGAAAGTTCGCTTCTCGATCCACATTGTCAAAAGCTGCATTCACATGTACTTCATTCCTCTCATCAAATTGCACGGTGCCAACAAGCTTGTGAGACAAAGCCGCATTGCTATACCCATCCAAAACTATATATAGGAGGTTCTAGGTTTAGTTTAGCCCTTAGTTACGCCCTTCTCCATGGACTGAAAAGTGATACCGTTCACATGGAAATAAAAAAAAAAGCAGAAATTAAGGAGTGGCCGTATTTCTTTTCTCTCTCTTTTTTTTGTTTGAAGTTTTAGGGAAAACTATTTTCCAGTTCGTAAAGCATTGCGACAGGATCCTTAGGGTTAAAAAATAGTTACAGCACTTTTTTTAACATGGAAGAGACCTCCATTACACAGTAACTGGGGCCAAATCATTGGCCAACAGTACATGGATACAATTTGAAATACTTTGACGCATGAGCCTCGCTCTTCTTAAAGGACTTTAGTTCATTCCACTCCCCTCCATTTCAAATGATAAGACGTCTTGGTTTTTTAGAAATATATATCTTTTACTATATACTTAGATATATATTATGTTTAGATATATAGTAAAAACTCCCTCCATTCTAAATTATAAGACGTTTTGGCTTGAAACATACTTTTACTACATACTTAAATATACATATGTCTAGATGACTAGATACATAACAAAAACAATGTATTGAAAAGACCAAAGCAATGTTTCTAGTTAAAGAACAAGCACCAACCTACTATATTTAAGATGCCGTTTGTTTGGTAGCTCTTATGTCACACAACTGAAGTTGCAAGTTGTTTTTTTCTTGGTTGTATGTGGTTTCTTTTCTTTTCTTTGATTAATAAAAAATAGCGACAAATCTGTTGCCATCCTTTAAAAAACTATATTTCATATGTTTAAATTTAACATTTTTCATATGATGGGTTAAAATATCAAAAAATCAATGTTTAGAACATTGAAGAACAAAACGTATGCATTAACATGGGAGTTGCAATATTATGTTTTTGTGGGGACTTTTTTGAATTCTATATTACGCTAGTTTAAAGTTCTAAAACGACGACCAAATCAATCAAAAAGTTTGTTGAGATTCTATTTCTTTTCACCAACAATCCAATTATATGCTGAAAAGAAGACTTGAAACGATCGGAAATTTCAAAGACTCCGAATATAGAAGTCCCCGCAATGTGTTTGCCTCAAGAAATAAAATAAAGGCTGAGTTCGGTAAGGACAAAATTCATGAGCACAAATCTTTATTAGTTAGACAATTTACAAGGCTGAAATATATATAATTACCGCAATTTAATAACTGCTCTTTTTTGGATTTGGATCTGCAACAAGCAAATGAATAAAAAAAATAGAAGAACCTGCACATTTTTTAGATAATGAGAAGAACATGCACATGGATGAACGGCTGACGCTGAAGCGACCTTTACTCCTTTATTAGTCACCTACCCCGGTCCGCCAACCCTATTATTATCTAAAGCACCAAAAAAGACAGTGAGTTTCAAGTCAAAAGAGATTTGGCACAATGGATGTTATTAGCTGGTTGCCATTTCGCTGGACCTGAGTATGGGCTTAAAAAACGCAAAATTGTAAAGACCCCCGGTTTCAAGCACAAATCTTTATTAGTTAGACAATGCGTAAGGCTGAAGCAATATATAACGACAGCCAGAACCATAACTACTTTTTTGGATTTGGATCTGCAACCCTATAAATGAATAAAAAATAGAGAGAACCTGCACATTTTTAGATAATGAGAAGAACATGCACATGGATGAACGGCTGACGCTGAAGCGACCTTTACTCCTTTATTAGTCACCTACCCCGGTCCGCCAACCCTATTATTATCTAAAGCACCAAAATGAAAAAAAAACTAAAAAGTGAATTTCAAGTCAAAAGGATTTTTCATTTAATTTCGCAAAAAAATGGATGTTATTAATATATTTTTAAAAATCATTTTTTTTCGCTGGACCTAATTTTTATCTGTATGGGCCACCGTACGCAAAATTGTCAAGCCCCCCGTTTCAAGCGCATATGTGCCGGCCGCATGCGTATGGGACAGCAATGCATGACGACAGCCAGAAGCATTTCTACGTTTCAGTCACGGGAACGGTGCTTTTCTTTGCTAGCAAATTAGTCCGACAAATCAACCGTATCGTCAATAAACCCTGCTAGTTTGGCTGTACTGTACTCTACCGCCGCAGCTGTCTTGTTGTCATTTAATACGTATCACGTGTCTGCAGCCTGGGGAGTCCATGGCCGAGATCGTCTCCCCGGTCATCGTCTCGTACCGTTTCCCGGATTTCACGTGGTAGGGTCTAATCGTAAGGATCGCGTGAATTGCTTGGTAGACCGGGAAGAGTATTTGGATTGCACGTGGATATTATGCAGTCTAGCTGATGAAAACAAGAGGTTCGTGGTTTTGAGCATGAGATTAATAATTTTTCAAAAATGAGCCTGAGATTTTTGCCGCATGCTTACGTCTACTTGGTTCGTGCATGCGAATACGAGTAAAATTTAATCTCCTGCATTATTCCACATGGGCAAAATTGGCAACCAGCTAATAACATCCACTGTAGTACTACCGTTGAGATCCTGTGAGTTGTGAGGAAACGACTGCACTACTTCAGTAGTACTTTTAGTGTGAATAAATAGTATTTTCCCCTCAGAGTATTTCAATATAAGTCAAGTTTCAGCGAAACGAACAGGACCATAGTGCATGTTGCGGATTTCAACTACAGTTTTGCTACCTTCTTTGTTCAAAAAAAAAAAACGAATGAGTCTACTTACGAATCAAAATAAAGATGAAAGAGAGTTCACAGCAACACGCACGCGGAAACAAGACCGAAGATGCATGGGACCAGGACACCAGAAATCAAGAAGATTTATTTATTTATATCCTTGACATGATTGATTGATGCTCCAAGTTGGTAGCCGTACGTGGTTGGAGAGTTGAGAGCTCGGGGTCAAACACAATCCATTGGTCAGGAGGACCCATGGATCCCAGATCCCACCCGCACCAGCCAGAACAAGTAGTACTACTAGCTGTGTCAGCAACGCCGATTCGCTGAAGCTGGTGAAACTGCGATGGATCCTGACAAACCCGGACGCTTCCATCCGACCAAGTGACGCTACACTGACGTCGAGCTTGCTCGTTCTTTCTACAGGTTGGCGGTTGCCCCCGAGGCTTCCAGAAGAATTTGGATACAGCAGGATGGATGATGACGTACACGTACAGGGAGCCGGGGAGGTCAGGATTAGTATATTTTAGTATTTATTTATCCTCCTGGTCCTGGCTGGATGATCCGCATCGACGATGGCATGCCGTACACACTGTTTGCTCTGCTCATCGTTTCTAAATGTTTTTCTCTCATAATAAAATAAAGATTAACTCGATTTTTTTTGAAACGATCCTGAATAGAGTGGTAATCCAAAAAATAATAAATAAATCGATGTGTACGTACTGAATATGCAGGTAGACAGAGGCAGGCCTCTAGCTGTACTAGCTGATCGAGTCAATGCTGCGGGGTTGAGGACCAGGCGCAGGCAACGAGACGTCGCATTTGGTAGTTTGCTAACGGCACCATCGTCGGCAGCTTCGTCATGCCCAGTTACAGCTGCCCACAGAAACAGGCTTTGCAGATGAGGTAAGCACAGCGGCAGCGTGACGACGGACCGAGCGATCACCCACCGGGTCCGCGCGTCGGACGGAGCCGCAGCCAGGAGCATCCATCGCTCGCGGCGGCATCATGACCTGCGTTAACAGTGACGCCGGAAAGAGAGAGATCTCGGGCTTTGGGGCGCGCTTTGGGCCCACCCGCCAACCGCCCGGGCCCGGCCGCCGTAAACGCCACCAACCAAGCAGAACCAGGGCATCGGATCCGTCGAGTGCCACTGTGCTGTGTGCCACACTGCCACTGCACGCACGCACACAACAGTGCATGCAACACAGCCGCATCGTCTCCATGCGGCATGCCCAAACCGCGCACCGCCCGCGAAAACGCCTCGCGAGCTGCCCGTCCTCAACTCCTGATGTGTTCGGCTGCTATCTCCTTTATTACCAGTGTCCGTGTGGCCGGCCGTGTGTCCTCGTGAGGGCCTGCCTGGCCCGTGGCCAGCCGGCCGGCATCACATCGCCTGCGCTATAAGCTGCCCCAGTTGGGTGTCAGCTGAACCCAGAGAGAAACAGGCTTTGCCATTGATGCGGTGCCAAGTTGAAAATCAAGCACCGTGGCAGCGTGACGACGGACCGAATAATCACCCACCGATAGGTCCGGTGCGCGTCGGACGGAGCCGCAGCCATGTTGAGCATCCATCGCTCGCGGCGGTGAATGGCATATGAATCTTTTGTTTGAGCATCGATCACGCTGTGGGCAGTCTAAGAGCGTGTTTGTTTCCCTGGCCCAGGGTGGTCTATTCATCTCAACCTAGCTAGGCTAGGGTGAGGCAGCCCCTAGTGGTGCAACTACTCTAGGTGTTTTTTTTGGTGGCTCAAGATGATGCCGGCTGGAGGTGGGATATTTTTTCGTTTTTTCTTATAACCAAATCTTTTTCAAATTTGTTTCTTCAAATAGAAAGTTTTTTTTCTTCACAACAAATCACGACAGAGTGTTTGGCTTGCTTTTTTTTCGGTTTAACGG